AGGCCCGAAACGTCAGCCTTCCTGCTCCTCTGATGCTGCTTGGCCTGCTGTGTTCATCCAGCTCTACACCTTGTTATCGTAGTTTCTCCTTCATCTTCTTTGTAAGGAGATCTGTTATCTGTAAGAATAATATGGTTGTCATGGTAGGTGATTTTCAAACATAAACTGGGGCTGCCACACCGTTAAGGGCTTGGATGGAGTGGAATTTGTGTGTACAAGAAAATTTTCTTATTCATTATGTGGATGTTCTTACTAGGGAAAGAGTAAAACTTGACCTTCTCTTCAGAAATAAGGCAGGGCAAGTGACCGAGATGTCGGTAGAAGAGCACTTTAGGGCCAGTGATCATAATTCTATTAGTTTTGAAATAATGATGGAAAAGAGTAGATCAGATCTAAAAGAAGAAGAACTTTCCCAAGTTGATTGGGGATGGGTATTCACAGGTAAAGGGACAGCTTAAAAAAAAAGGAAGCCTTTAAAAATGAGATAATGAGAATCCAGAGACTGTATGTCCCTGTTAAGGTGAAGGGCAAGGTTGGTAGATGTAGGGAATGCTGAGTGACGAGAGAAATTGCGGTTTTGGTCAAGGAGGAGAAGGAAGCAAATGTCAGGTATAGACAGCAGGGATCGAGTGAATCCCACAAGAGTTTAAGGGTGATAGGAATATAGTCGAGGGAAATCAGGATAGCTTTGGCAGATAGGGTGAGGGAAAATCCAAAGGGATTCTACAAGTCATTAAGGACAAAAGAGTAACTAGGGAGAGAATAGGGCCCCTTAAAGGTCAACAAGGATGTCTTTGTGTGGAACTGCAGGAGATAGGTGAGATACTAAACAAGTATTTCTTATCCGTATTTACTGCGGAGAACACTATGGAAGCTAGAGAACTTGGGGAAATGAATAGTGATACCTTTAAAGTGCCCATATTACAGAGGGAGAGGTGCTGGAGGTCTTAAAACGTGTAAAGTTGCATAAATCCCTGCGACCTTATGAGGTGTACCCATAACTTTGTAGGACGTGATTGCTGGGCTTGCTGAAATATTTGTATGATTGATAGCTGCAGGCGAGCCGGAAGACTGGAGATGGGCTAACAAGGTGCCATCGTTTAAGAAAGGTGATGAGAAAAAGCCAGGAAACTATAGACGTGCAAACCTGATGTCAGCAGTGGGTAAGTTGTTGGAGGAGATTCTGAGGGACAGGATTTACATGTGTTTGGAAAAGCAAGGACCGATTAGTGATAATCAACATGGAAATGGATGTGGGAGATCGTATTCCACTAATTTGATTGAATTTTTTGAAGAAATGATGAAAATTGAAGGTAGAGTGGTGGATATTGTCCAGATGTACTTCAGTAAGGCATTCAACATGATTCTGCATGGTAGTCTGGTTAGCAAGGTTAGATCACATGGAGAATTAGCCATTTGAATATAGAACTGGCTCGAAGGCACAAGACTGGTGGTGGAGGGTTCTTTCTTGAACTGGAGGCCTGTGACCAGCATGGTGCCACAACGAGCGTTGCTGAGTCCACTGCTTTTTCTCATTCATGTAAACGATTTGGATGTGAATGTTGGAGGTATTGTTTATAAGTTTGCAGATGACACCATAATTGGTGGTGTAGTGGACAGTGAAGAAGGTTACCTTAGAGTAAAGTGAGGACCTTGATCAGATGGGCAAATAGACTGAGGAATGGCGGATGGAGTTTAATTTAGATAAATGTGAGGTGCAACATCTTGGTAGGGCAAATCAGGGCAGGAATTAGACCATGAATTGTAATGTTAATGGGGAGTGTTTCCGAACAGAGACCTTGGGGTGCTGATTCATAGTTTCTTGAAAGCCGAGTGGCAGGTTGACAGGATAGGAAAGAAGGTGTTTGGTACACTTGCCGTTATTGGTCAGTGCATTGAATATAAGAGTTGGGAGGTCATGTTGTGGTTTTATAGGACATTGGTTAGGCCACTTGTGGAATACTGTATTCAGTTCTGGTCTCCCTGTTATAGGAAAGATGTTATGAAACTTGAAAGGGTGCAGGAAAGATTTACAAAGATGTTGCCAGGGTTGGGGGGGGTTTGAGCTATAGGGAGAGGCTGAATAGGCTGGGGCTATTTTCCCTGGAGTGTTGGAGGCTGAGGGGTGACCTTAGAGGTTTATAAAATCATGAGCGTAGATAGGGTGAATAGTCAAGGTATTTTCCCCAGGGTAGGGGAGTCTAAAACTACAGGGCATAGGTTTAAGGTAAGAGGGGAAAGATTTTAAAAAGGGACCTACGGGGCAGCTTTTTCATGGAGAGGGTGGTGTGTGTGTGAAATGAGCTGCCAGAGGAAGTGGTGGAGGCTGGTGAGCAACGCTGGTATAATTAATTAAGTTATAATTAGGTTGTAATTAATTTAAAAGGCATCTGGATGGGTGTCCAAATAGGAAGAGTTTGGAGGAATATGGGCCAAATGCTTGAAAAATAGGACTAGGTTAATGTAGAGTATCTTTTCAACATGAACGAGTTTGACTGAAGGGTGGGTAAGCCATCAGAGATAGTAGGAACTGCAGATGCTGGAGAATCTGAGATAACAAGGTGTAGAGCTGGATGAACATAGCAGGCCAAGCAGCATCCTAGGAGCAGGAAGGCTGACGTTTCGGGCCTAGACCTTTCTTCAGAAAAGGGTCTAGGCCCGAAACGTCACCTTGTTATCTCTGACTCTAAGCCATGTTGACTTTGGATGATCTTATGTATGTCTAAACGCTCTTCTGTTTCATCCCTTTATAGATGCTAGCATTTTCCCAATGAAGGATATTAAGCTAAGTGGCCTAGAGTTAGCTGGGTTTTTTTTTGTCCCTTTCCCTTTTGAAATAAAGATGTTACTTTGGTAGTTTCCAATTCTCTTGGATTTTCCAGAACCTGAGATTCTTAGATTATTACTGGTGCATCCACTGTCCCTGTTGCTACTTCCTTTAATATACTAGGATGATCCCATCAGGTCTTTAGCCCCATTAGTTTTCCTAGCACATTTTCTCTTGTGATAATTATTAGTTATTTCCTATCTTCCCTCTTTCCCCTTGAATAGTTTCTGATTTTGGAATGCTGTTGATCTCTACCAGATCTCTACCATCATCTCTGATCATTTTTTTAAAAAATGTTAGAGTTAAAACCTTTTTTCTGAAAATTGCTTCGGTGAATTCTCATCATGGATGTTGTCAAGTGGAATACCCAAAACAGGGCACATGATTCTAATTGTAGCCTTTGGTTTTTTTTTTAAAAGATGTAATCTTTTTGCCTTGTTTTATGACCTAGTTTTAAATCCACAATCCCATATGGCTTAATTTAGTAGCATTTTAGACCCATGAGTCTGTTCTGTCGTCAATGAGATTGCTTTTCATCTGTGTTGTGTGCAATTTCTTAATAATGCAGCTAACAAGAAAAGTACTATTGATCTCAAATTTAAAGTTATTAATTGGACTACAACTGTGTTTTGTGGATATCAGCTTTGTTGCCTTGTTCTGGGCTCCTTAGGAGTTGGGAAGTTCTTTTTCTTAGAAGCTTCAATCAAGTCACTTGTATCTTCAAAGAAATGTAAGCCTAATTCATGTAATTATTCCTAAAAGCTAAATCTTGGAACCATGGTATCATTTTGGCAATTCTGCATTGCACTTCTTCCATACACCTTCTAAGATGCTATGGTGAAAACTCTATGGGCTACTCCCAATGTGATCTGACCAGAGCTTTGTATAACTGCAGTAAAATCCTCCTCATTAAATTCTTGCCCTGCAATTATGAAGGTAACTTCCATTCTATAGTGTTTTGTCCAAAATGATGATTCCTCACATTTATCTACATCGAAACCTGTGTTTGCTTTTCCTGCTTACAATTTATGTCTCTAAGTTATGTTCATGTTCACACAGCTTATCATATCACTAATAATTGTACTGTCAGAAATCTTTTAGATGTCTACCATTTTTTACCATTCAATGTATACAGTGAATGATTAGGCTTCCACCAAGGATGACCATTAGTCTCCTCGTCCCAATTTAAGTGCATTGCCATTATCCCTACTCTTACTAATGCAACATAATCATTCTTTTTAAAAGAATGATTAACTTCTCTCAATTCCATGGCCTCTAATTTTGACCACCTGTCTGTATGTGAAACCTTATTCAATGCTGTTCAGAAGTCCACACAAAGTACTTGGAGATTTACCCAAGTCTACAACTTAATTTATTTTTTCTGACAAAGTAACGTGCATTCAGTGTGATCTATTTACAAGTTCATGTTGACTGTCTCTAATCAGCTCAAATTTCTCTTTCCAGGTCCTCCTTAATGGATTTTAATTACTTTCCCCACAGTGTACGTTATACTGACAGTTTTATAATTTTCTGGATTCACTTTCAACAGTTGATCTATATTTGCAATTTTCCAATCTAAAAGGCAATTCCTGATCTGATAAAGCGTGGGAGCATATGACCAAAATCCGTGCGTTTCCTCACCTTCCTATTTAAGACTGGGGGGCAATTCATCACATCCTAAGGGTTTTTCTGTATTTATTGCCATTACATTTTCTAATTCTCATTGCTTGCATTAACTGTAATCCTTACCAGTCCCACTTCATTATTACTTTCCTTGGAATGTCAAATTATGCAATGCTGTTTTTGTACAGCGAATTCTAACATGGCCTGGTAGCTCAGTGGTTAGCGCTGCTGCCTCATGATGCCAAAGACTCTTGTTCAGTTGTGAAGTTTGCACATTTTCACCATTTCTGTGTGGGTTACCACTAGGTGCTCAGGTTTCCTCCCACAGTTCAAAGATGTGCAGGTTAGGTGGATTGGCCATGCTAAATTGCCCCTAGTGTCCAGGGATGTGCAGGCTAGATGGATTAGCCGTTGGAAATGCGGGGTTGCAGGGACAGGGGTGTGGGTCTGTGTGGTATGCTATTTGGAGGATCGATGGGCTGAATGGTCTGCTTTCATGCTGTAGGGATTCTAATTCCATGATTCTAAATGATAATTCAGCAATTCTGTTGTTTTGTGATTTTCAATTGCAAGTTTACCCTTTTCTGTAGCAACTTTAATGACAGGGTGTCCTAATGGACTTTGCAGCTAATAACATCCAATTTTTAATTTGTCGTTGCTGTTATGTTGGAAAAAGTGATTGACTTTTGGGATTTGATGTAACTGAGGGCTTATGTATCTCTCTTTCTATTCCTTTTAGAATTTTATCATTAAGAATGTATGTCTTTTTATTTGAGCCAAAATACATCATTTTGCTTTTTCTGCAGCAAATGACACATTTGTTCCTTTTCACTTCTTCTTGAGCGCACTACTTAAAATCTCCCTCATTGACTGAGCTGTTGGTCATCTACCCTAATGTCATCTTTTGTGGATCGGTATCAAATTTTGTTTGATGCTTCTGTGTAGCCCCTTCTGACATTTCATTATATTCAAATATACTGCTAAAGTACCAAGTCTTTTTTTTGTTTTGAAGATGTAAAAACCCTGTGAAGGGTACATGTATCATGTGACCATAGTTACTCAAGAAATGGTGGACATTGTTTGAACTGCAGTTGTCATTGTGGTGATGTCAGATATAACATTTCAAGATTTTGACCCACTGGTGCAAATAACTCCCATTGTGTTTTGTACCACTTTGCTGCATGGAAGATTTGGGATTCCCTATTAAGCACTACCTTGATGTCAAGGGCAGGATGTAATATCAAATGACCCTAGAAAAACTGAGAGGTCAGTGGGAATTGAGAGAAACTTCTTTTATTGGTTGGAGTTGTACCTTGTATAAAGTATGATGGTTGGGTGGTGGCCCCGGACATTACTCTTGGAGTACCTTGGCATGCCGGTCTAAGCCCAGCTATCTTCATTAGCTTTAGTAATAGCTTTCTTTTCAAAATATATGGTTGAATTGGGGATTTTTACTGATGTTTGTGTGGCGTTCAGTACCATTTGTGATGACGGGACTGAAGCAGCCTGTGTCCTTAACAGAAGTGCATGGACTATATTCAAACTTGGATCGATAAGTGGCAAGTAGCATTTACACCAAACAATTTTCAGACAATGATCACCTCCAACGAAAGCCTAACTATCTCCCATCTATAAATGTAGCATTATAGTTGCTGAAACATCCACCATGAGCATCTGAGGTTATCTGTCCTTAGAAACTTCATGGATGATTGC